TACAGGGAACCTCTGCATAACAACGTAACACCGCCTGGTCCTACACCATCTTACTGGGGGTCTTCCTTTTTTACTGACCTGCCGCTTTCCCAAGCATTATGTCTTCCAGGGACTGGTTCCTCCTGACAGCATGTTAAAAGAATGAGAGATGTAGTCTCCCCATCCTGGTTTCTAAGGAACATTCTGAATGTACTTCTAGGATGGATTTGTTCATTGTTCTGGTAGTTCATGCTGCTTTTAATATTCTCCCCCAACACCTTAAGTCAGGGAAAGGTTAGAAAGATAGAAACACAGTCCTCAGCAGTGTATAGATTTAGAGCGGGAGCATATGTTGAGAAATAATAGCTCCACATTTTGATCTTTTTGTTTAATTAAAGGTTGCTATGATTTTGTAGCAATGCTTTTTGATTAACCCTTGTATTAAGTGCTATAAAAACATGTCAATTTCTGATAGAAAAAGCACTATGATTCACAAGTTTGGTAAATAGGTACATGAAAACTAATGGGGTGAATTTGAGGAATACTGTGACAGGATGAATGGATTTGAAGTCCAGATACAAAGATTCTATCTAGATGTCTCTGCAACAGTAAATTGGGGATAATCCTGCCTCCATCCTTCATGAAACTGTGAAGATACAAATTACATGAAAATTGTTGTTATTAAGTGCTGTCGATGAGTCAGTTCCGACTCATAGTGACCCTGCATAGGGTTTCCAATGAGGTTGGTGAGTTTGAACCACTGACCTTGTGGTCCAAACCAAACCTGCAGTCCATTTCTTCTTCTACAGTGCCACACCAGGACTAACTGTAATTATTAGTTAACAATAGCTAAAATTTTTGGAACTTCATAATGTGCTAGGCTCTGAATGATCTCATTCAGTGCTTACAACTCAAGAGATGGTTCTAGCTGTGTTTTGCAGGTGAGGAAGCAGAGTCTCAGACTGTTGCATTCTGAAGTTTTTAAATGTTGGAGGCAATATTCAAATCCGGGCCACATGACTCTTGAGTTTATGCTTCTAAATTTCCTCTGAATTGTTCTTTCACTGGATATTTTTTGTCAGTCTGATTTATGTGATTGCTGGGATAACAAACACACTGAGCATGAAAAGAAATCACAAGCACTTTAGCTAGTTGGTAAATAGTTATATGGTGTGGTGCTGTAGTATCAACACGGGACTAAAACCATGAGGTTGGCAGTTCAAACCCATCAGCCACTCCTTGGAAACCCTATACAGGTCGCTATGAATCAGAACTGACTCAGTGGTTTTAACAACAACCACAATCATTCAGTGGTAGAAGTCTCATCTTTCATAGGGGAGACCCGGGTTCAAATTTTGGCCAATGGACCTCATGTGAAGCCACCAACTGTCGGTTAGTGGAGGCTTACTTGTTCCTATGTTGCTAAAAAATAGCCCTGGTGGCACAGTGGGCTAAGCATTGGGCTGCTAATGTAAAGGTTGATGGTTCAAACCTGCCATTTGCTCTGAGGAAGAAACATGAAGCTGTCTTCCCATAAAGTCTCAGAAACCTCTGGGAGCAGTTCTGTTCTGTTCTATTGGGTCACTGAGTCGGAATTGACTTGGTTTCAGTGAGTTCTAGCGAGTATATGATGCTGAATACGGTTTAGCAAAGCTTACAGATAAAGACTAGGAAGAAAGGCCTGGTGATCTGCTTCTGAAAATTAGCCAGTGGCAGCCCTCTAGATCCAATTCACAATTGATCATGGGGATGGCAAGGAATTGGGCAGCATTTCTTTTTGTTGTGCATGGTCGCCAGTTGGGCCAACTCGACAACCACTAACAACAATAAGTAGTTACATGTTAACTCCATGAAAAAGTAATAGAAGATAGCAACAGGAATTTTAAAAAACCTGTAAGTGAAGCATCCAGTGGATATGAAGTGAGGGGAGATGCATAGGAACACCCAAATTTGCAGATAGTACCCATTTGACCTAGCCTCGATGGCTTGGTAATCAGAACTCGACTAGAAGAAGATCAAAAAAAATTTTTTTTTTTTTAATAAAGGGTAAATTTCTACAATTTGGTGAACTTGACCTATATTCATGGAGGCTGTTGTTGTTAGGTGCCATCGAGTCAGCACCGACTCATAGTGACCTTATTATGTACAGCAGAATGAAACAATGTCCGGTCCTGGGCCAACCTCACTACTATATTCATGGAGGTAGTAGCTTAAAATACCACAGAGAGGAAAGGAGTCTTCACATCAAGTATTAATGCTATCCCCTCTATATACAGGGTAGATAGGGACGGGCAACTTAAATATTGGCTACCTAAAATGGTGTGATAAAGGCTCGAAGTGACTGGCTTACAAGGTTTCAAGAGGGAGTTTAGTTTAAGAGCCTGTGGGGGAAGATGGAGTCCCCACTGAATAGTTTTCATCTTGTCTAGATGGGTCTGGTAAAAAGAGACCGGGATAAGATTCTTAGGATTCAATAATGAGTAATTGGTATAATGATTAATTGCAACTGTCACAATTGTAAAGGTAGAAGTTTTATAACAAAAACGGGGGAGTAGTTAATCTTACGGAGTCCTGGTGTGGTGCTGTGGGTTAATGCACCAGACTGCAAAGCCGTTTGAACTGCAAGGTTGGTGGTTCAAGCTCACCAGCTGCTTCTTGGAAACCCTATACAGGGCCACTATGGGTTGGAATTGACTAGACGGCACTTCACAACAAGTTAATCCAAGAAACAGGACTCTTGGAACATCAAAGGAGAAGATCACAAGCGGAATGTGAGGCCTTGTCCAGAGAATCAGCGAATCAGCAATGGCAGAGATGGGAACATGGAGAGAGGGAGCAGCTGAGGACTCTAGATTCATGGGAAGAGAGGGACTGAGAGTTGGTGGCCAGGAGGCAGACTTGCAGAATGTGCCCTTTGGTGGTGTAAATTATTATATATGCCTGAGTGTTTAAAAAAAAAAAAGCTAAAATGAATAGAGGGAAATACTGTTAACTGATGGTACATGAAGGGGCTTGTAATCATTGTAATGAAACAAAGTATATGATTTGTTGAATGTGAAACTGATGATCTGCCCTGTATACTTTCATTCAATTCACAATAAAAACTTTAAAAACAAAACCAAAAAACCCTGTAAGTTAGTATGATTTTTTAGTAGGATCTTCTTAAGTGCTGTCAGATCAGTTCAGACTCATAGAACCCTATATAGGGTTTCCAAGGAGCAGCTGGTGAGTTTGAACCACCAACTTTGCAGTTTGAATCGCCAACCTTGCCGTTGAAACGGACATTTTGGTGCGGTGCTTATCCAACTTAAATCGTTTTTCCATTTATCATGATGTTATTTATTGGTCCAGAGATGAGGATTTTTGTTTTCTTTACATTGAGATGCAACTCGTACTAAAGGCCTCTGCCTTTAGTCTTTGATCTGTAAGTCCTGTTTGCTTTTAGCAAGCAAGCTTATATCATCTGCATATTGAAGGTTGTTAATGAGTCTTCCTCCAATCCTGATGCTACATTCTTCTTCATATAATCCAGTTTCTTGGATTTTTTTTGCTCAGCATAGAGATTGAATAAGTATGGTGAAAGAATGAACATATCCTCGACACACACCTTTCCTAATTTTAAACCATTCATTGTCCCCTTGTTCTGTCCAAACTACTGTCTCTTGGTCTTGTAAACTGAAATTGGAGTCCACTAAAGATACCCACCATTTGGAGAGAGAAAGCTGATTATTTGAGCTTAAAATAGCTTGCCTGATACCAGAACAATTGTTGATATTTCACACTCTAGAAACTAGTGTGGCTGGATAACACCTGCCTCTTGTGAAATAGAAATATCAACTACAACCACTGAAAAAGGAGACTTTCAACCAAATAATCTGAATTCCTGGGTTCTATTTTTTGAGCTTGTTCTCCAGTTTCTTTCCCACTATAGCTTTGCTTTCCTTTGCACTAAATCAAGGCAGGGTCCGGCCTTGTGAGACAATACTACCTACAATGTGGGAAGGACAAGAATTGTGTCTCTTGAAGGGCCAGAGGCAGTGGGAAGGAATGTTGATAGTAGTCCAGGTCAAAGGAATCGAGGAGCTTAGTTTGCTAACAGAAGCAACTCTTAGCCCTGTTCGTGGGAGGGGGCCCACAAGAGGGCCTAAAGTGGTCGCTGACCAGAGTCCTGCTGGCTCCTCAGAGGCATGTAATCTGCCAGGTTGGGGTTGCAGTGATGTCAGGAAACCGCTAGGTGGCAGCCGTGCGTTTCCAAAGCTGGCTCTTCAAACCGAGAGCCCCGATTGGGATCCCTGGAACCGAACCGAGAGTCCCTAGGGAGAAGAGACTCCCCGGCCATCCCTCCGCCCTTCAGCGGCTGATACGGATAGAGAGGAAGGGACTCACTTGGAGTGGTCAGCCAGCCAGGAGGGTGGTTGGGAAATGCAACGATTCTGCGTGGACCCACTGGACCGGTGAAAGCACCCCTCTTCAGTGGAGCCGCCTCGAGGCTGGGCCTGACCCGCGTCCTCCCCGTTACCCACTCCGGAGCTAGTAGGTGTGAGAGAATGTGAGTAGTGAGTGTGGGCAAAGGAGATCGCTCGGCACCTAACTGGGACCTGCAGCCTGCCGAATTCAGGCAGCGTTTGCACCGCGGTGCGGGTCACTGCGCCCAGGCGCAGCGCTCCGACGGCTTCTATTGCTCACCAGCTCCAGCCTCGCCTCGCGGGCTCTGCCCTTTGGAGCTGCCGGTCCCGTCGCCGAGACTCTGAGCGCCTCCCTTCCATCCCGGAGCCGCCAGAAGAAGTAGGAGGAGGCAGTGGAGAGGCTGCGGCAGGCAGACAAGCAGGCAGGGCCGCCTTTGATGTGGGCGCGGCGCACCCAGGCGAGCTGAGCGCCCGTCCGGCCGCGCCCCGAGGGGGGAGCCCCCGGGCCCCGCATCCTCATTGTGCCGGCTCGGGCCCGGGCCCGCCCCCGGCCCCCCGCCCCCTCGCCGCCCGCGCGTAGAAAACGCCCCGGCCGCCGCCAGTGGTGGGAGGCGGCGATGCGCACGGCCGGAGAGACGCGGAGGAGGAGACATGAGCCGGCGGGCGCCCAGACGGAGCGGCCGTGAAGCGTTGGTGCTGCAGTCGCGCGCCCCAGCCCCGGAGCACTGACCCCTGGCCCCGCGCAGCCCCGCGCACAGGCCAGAGAGCGCGCCCCAGCTGCCGGCCCTGCGGCTCATGCCGCTCTCAGAGTGAGCTGGGCAGCTAGCACCCCGCGGACGCCCGGACAGACGTCTGGTCGGTACTGAGCAAGCGTCCCTGCACCGGCCTGTGTCCCCTGCACATCGGCGGCCGCTCCGCAGACCCCGCGCCAGCCCGGAGAGCGCAGCGCTCGCTCGGGAGGAGCCGCGCGGGGCGCTGATGCCGCAGGGCGCGCGGCGGAGCGCCCCGGAGCAGCAGAGTCTGCAGCAGCAGCCGGCTAGGAGGGAGCAGCAGCAGCGGCGGCGGCGGCGGCGACGGAGGCGGAGGCGCCCGGTCCCGGCCGCGCGGAGCGGACATGTGCAGGCTGGGCTAGGAGCCGCCGCCTCCCCTCCGCCCAGCGATGTATTCAGCGCCCTCCGCCTGCACTTGCCTGTAAGCGCCCGCGTGCGGGCTGCCCGCCTTGCCTGACTTTCCGACTGCGTGTGTGTCTGTCCGCGCATCCCCTTTCCCACCTCAGATCCTACTAACCGCCTCTCCATCTCTCTCCGCAGGTGTTTACACTTCCTGCTGCTGTGCTTCCAGGTACAGGTACGTGGGTTCCTGACTCTAACCTCCTCCCACCCCTGCCACGCGGTAGAGGCCGACCCCCTCTCTTGGGCCGCGCCCCCTCCCTGTGCCCCACCCTCCTGGGCGCGGAGCCCAGTGCACCTGTTCCCAGGGCTCAGGAGGGCGGCTCCGCGTGAGCCTTGCGCCGGGTGGGGACCGGTCAAGGCCAAGGGGCTCTGCTGGGGGGGGGCGAAGGCCAGCGCGGGCTGTCGCCGTTCCTTCCAGCCTCGCCTGAGAGGTGATTCCCTAGAGCAGACAGGTTCAGCGGTAGCAATATGCCCGACTCCAAGTCCCCTGCCCGCAGTCGGCGAGAAGTTGGGACCTAGGGTTTTTCTGTGCCAACCATCCCTTAAAATCGCCGCTTGATCGTCCAAACAAAAAAGCTCTTTTCAGCGGAGTGGTTTTGAGTCCAGAGAGAAAGCTTCAGTTGTAAATTACTCTGTGGTTTCAAAGGCGTTTGCAGCATTTCGGGAGAGAGAGGGGGAAAGAGGTAGACGCAGGATGAGGGGCAACGAAGGGCTAGAGGGGCAGAGCCCAGCGGCCGGACCAAGAGATGTCTCTGGCCGGCCGCGTTGCGCACACCCTCTCCCAAGGTGGTGCAACCCTCCGCTGGATCCCCACCTTGCTCCCTACTCGCTCGCTAGCTCGGTCGCTCGCTCTCCGTGAATCAGAAGAGGGCTTGGCGTTCAGCCTGGAAAGCACTTGCTAAAATCTGATCTGTTACTTCAGCAGCTTTCAGACTCGGGAAGGTCTTGGCACGCAGACAGTTGGAACGCTCTAGCTTCCAAAGCCCTGGAAATGAAGGAAAAAGGAGGGGAGGGGGAGGGAGAAAGAAGAGAGAGCCGACTTCAGCCACGATTAGAACCAGACCAAGGCTGCCTCAGCATGGGGGGGGGGCGGTGGGGGGCGGGCAAAGGAAATAGGAAGCGCCAGCTGCCCAGACCCCCACCCACCTAGAGCTGTAAGGGAGGGGCTCTTCGAGGAGCTGGACTCGGGCCAAAAGAGGATTATCTGCCCCTTCCCCCTCTTGGTAGAAGGCAGGTGTCGGCACCAGGTTAGGATTGGGAATGCTTAAACCTTTGCCTTGTGGATTCTGGGGATGCCTGGAGAGAACCTGAAAGGTGGAAAGATGGTGGTTCTTCCAGTTCCGGAGCCCCCCAGGAGTTCTGTGTGTGTTGAGGCTTAGCAGACTCTGGTGGTGGTGGTGGCTCTGGGTCTCTCCATTCCCACTTCTGTAAGAGAATGAACATTGGGCTGAGGGCAGCCAGGGTGGCTGGGCTATGGGTGGACGGATGGATGGATGGACAGACTGATGGGTTCTTTCCTCTGGTCAGGCTGACTGGAGTCCCCAGTGGCTCCTTGAATCAATACAACTGGAGTCAGTAACTTAAGACTGGCTGTTTGCCAAAGCAGATGTGACCCTGTGTGGTGACAGGGGTGGGGGTGGTGAGTGGCTGGTGTCAGAGAGAGAGACCAGTGCCAGGCATGGCTTGCCTGGTCTGCAGCCAAGTCTCCCAGCAGAGGTCAGGTCCCGCGGTCACTTGTGTGACCTGGGAGAGAGCTGTTTTCCAGAGTGGTAATAAACCTGGGACTGGGGGACAGAGGTGTGGAGGTGGGAGGTAAGGTGTGTGTATGGGATAGAGGGGAGGCAGGTGGACCTTGCTACCTGCTGCTCTTTGCTTTTCTTGAAGTGGGGCCCAGGAAGGGTTGCTGTGAGATCTTTGTGTTCTCCTGGGGAGTATGGAGTACAAGGGAGGAGGGAGGCCAAGGCTCTTCATCCCACCTCCACCTCCAGGGAAGAGTACCTCTTGGAAGAGCTGGGTAGTCCACTCGGATTGGGCCAGAAGGCCAGGCAGGTGAGGGTACAGCGGCCTCTTCTCCTGCTCCCTAAGTATCCCCCTTCCTTGCCCTTTTCCTTTCTTTGCCCCTTTGTTCCCTCCAGCTTTCCCCCATCTTAACTCATGATGCTTTAAACTCATACTCCATCTTAGTGTATCTAAGGATAAGATTATTGTGTGTGTGTTTCCCTCAAACACTGCATGCAAAGTAGTTCTTAACTGTGCTGATGTATGGAAGAGGGCCCTCAGTTCCTCCCCTAATTTCCCAAACACTCCTAAATGATAAAGAAACCTACTCTGGAGAGTTCCAGGAAAGGTTGGCAAGCTCATGTCCCCATTTGAGCCAGGGACAAAGGTGGGTGGGCATTTGTAGTGTACAGCTGAGAGATGGAAGCTGAAGTCTGAAGGCTCCTCGCTGCTAAGGTCTCATTGGGCAGATGCCAGGAAGCCACTACTTCAGGGGCAGGGGTACTTTAAGGGGATGGTAATGAGGGGAGCCTTTCTGCATAGGGAGGGGGGAAGGAGGGTTCAGGACTTGGCAACCCAGTCAACCTGGATCTGAACCTCAGCTCCATCTTTCTTACCTGTGGACTCCTGGGAGTCTGAGCTTCATCATTTGTGAAATAGGTAACTATGAGGCTGAAGTGATTGATAAATATGGTAGAAAAGGGAAAAATTTTGCAGATTCTCATCAGCCCAGAAATGGATACACCTTTGCCTTTCCAACCTCACGTTTTGGGGGACTGGTCCAACGTTAGCAATGGGGTTTCTGGGCCCGCCCCCTATCAGCCAGCAAGCTTAGAATGCCCCTCCCCGCCGCTTCCACCCCCAGCTACATTTCTGTGACCACATTCAATGCCAGACTCTGCCTTGCCCCTCCTCCCTTGGGGTGAGCCCCACCCTCACCCGTCGGCCACCCCAGGAAACGGGAAGCTGGGAATTTAATAAAATCCCTTCTCCACATGACTCGGGACACCGTGGATAACTCAAATCGGAAGAATTTTAAAAATTTCCGCGGGGAGCAGGCGGCGTGACCAGTAAATTGTTTTTCTGCACTTGGCTGAGCGCTGACAATGACGCCGGGCTGGGCCTTTCACGAAGCCCCACTGGCACCTGCCTGACATTGTTCCTGCCGCCAGGCTCGACTAGGTCCTGGCCTTCCCCAGACAGGGAAGGCGGAGGTAGGCCGAAGCTGGGGCCTTCCGCCCACCCCTTGTCGCTCCCAAAGCCCCACTTCCTCTCTTTCTCATTTGGTGATGTGTTCAAGTTTGTAAGTTTCCTTCCACGCTTCCTTCAGTCTCCTCAGTAAGGTGCAATCCTTTCTCTAAGTGACTAAGATGGGGAATCCAAAGGCGGTGTCTTTTGGGACTTGGGAAGGATGGGAAGCGCTTATTGGATGTTGGTGCTTGTTCCTGTAGCCTTTTCCTTACTGTCCCCCACCCACCACCCTATGGGCATCATTCACAATGAAAATGGATGATGGTAATTCTTTGACTGATCTGGTTGCCAGCTCTTTCTGTCTTAGTCTGGAAGTTCTGCTGAAACCTATTTTCAGCATCATGGCAACATTCCAGTCTCCACTGACAGATGAGTGGTGGCTGCACCTTAGGGCCATTAGCTAGAATTCTAACCAGGGCCTTCTTCTGCGTGGAAGGCAAGAATTCTGTCCCTGAATCACCCGTTTCTGATCTGATTGGAAAACAGGTTTTAATTTCTTAAAGCAACAACATCACACATTTACTCATTCATCCCACAAATAACTTGCTGAGGGAGCAAGACCTAGTAGCAGCCAGTCTAAAGAGTGAGAGTGCCAAGTAAACAGGAGTGTGGTGGAACCTCACCTTTCTCCTCCTGATGCTGTGAATTGTAGTGTGGCTACACCGTGACTTGGGAGAGGTGACTTGCTGAAGGTAACAGAGAAAGTGCTGCTTATAAGAATTTCAGAGTAGGGGTTGGTATACATCAGGAATCTTGTTCTAGTCTTCCATTCCACAAAGGAAGTTGAAGTGGGAGGCTTGAAAGACAAGGAAGCTTCAAAAAATCTGTGGCAAAATGGAATGAAAAGAGAATGGAATTTCTCCATGAACTTTTTGAAGTCTCCTCATAGTACTGTTTCATCGGAATTGGACAGAAGCAGAAAGTGGAGAAAGGACTTGCTCAAGGACTCTGGATTCAAGATTTTGGATTCTTTCTACTGATGTTGCTGTAGGATAAGCACTGGACTATAAAGTTGGTTTGAACTGCAAGGTTGGCGGTTGAAATCCACCGCTAAGCCTCAGAAACCCTAAAACAGGATTGCTATGAGTTGGAAGTGGCTCAACAGCACTAAACAACAACAACTACTGCACTAAGCCCACTTTTTCCTGAAAGATTAGAATGGGTGGAAGACTCCCTGGTGACTCTGTGGAATAAGTATTGGGATGATAACCATAAGACCAGCAGTTCAAACCCACCAGCCACTCTGCAGGAGAAAGATAAGGCTGTCTGCGCCCATATTTATTCTTGAGCAGTTCTATTCTGTCTTGTATGTTCACTATAAATCAGAGTCAGCTAGGTAGCAGTGGGCTATATTGAGTGGAAAAACTAAGGCTCAGGGCAGACAGTGAAACATCCTTTCTGGATTCTTCTGGTGGCCATAGGGGGAAATCAGAGCCCAGGTAGGGGGGTCTCTGGGGTTGAAAGCAGCTGACTGGAGCCTTTTGGATCTGATTGTTCTGGAGTGTGCTAATATGAAAGGGTCTCTGAGCTGGAGGTGGGTGTTTTGGGGGGCGGGGCTGGGACTTAGGGATTTAGTCCCCTCCCCCAACTTTTCTCTTAGTGTGGAGGGGGCATTCTGCCAGCATTCCTGTAATCCTGGAGTGTCACTGGCTCTGAGATAAGCAAGTGGATTTTTAAAATTTCTGGTGGTTGCTACGGCTAATATCAACCTGATTAGGGCACATGTCACCAGGACAAGCTTTGCCTCCACCCTGTCCTAGGCCACTCTGATGGCACCTTGGGCCCCCAGAGAGAGACTAAGGGGACTGGGGAGGAGATTGCCTTCTGGTTCTAGGAAAATTGTGGATGTGGAAGGTCAGGCTGGCATCAGCATGATACTTGCAGTAGTCACCAGGGACTGAGGACTCCCTCAACGTCATAGGCATT